CTTCAAAATCCTAGCCTTCAAAGAGAAACTTTATTCCACCCTCTCCAAAAGAGACCTATTTATTTTCTTGGTGGTCCATGGTATGTTCAAGACTCTTCTCCAACACACCTCAAAGGCATCATTCTTGTCTGTCATCCTTAGTCATTGTCCAGCTCTCTGATGCATAGCAAGAAATTGCGAAGACCATGACCTGGATCAGGTGCACCTTAGTCTCTAGATTGATATCATTGCTTCTTGGTACTCTGGCGAGGTCCCTAACAGAAGATTTTCCTAATGTAATTAATTTTTGATTTCCTGACTGCTGGTGCCAAGAGTGCTCACTGTGGAGCCAATAAACTGAAATTGTTAAGAATCTCAATCTCTTTCTTCATGAGTTTGTTAGCCATCTGAATGTCATCCTTTGTGAAAAGTCTTTTCATGTGTTCTGCCCATTTTGTGACTGGGTTATTAGTTTTTTCCCTGTCGAAGGCTGGTAAGATCTGTAAACTTTGTGTACCATTGAGGCAGAACCGACCCATAGCTGACCCTAAAATGGGTTTTCAGAGGCAGTTTAATTGCACAGGAGGAGACTGCCCATCCTACTCATGTGGAGCAGCTGGTGGATTCGAGCTGTGTGCCTTCAGGATTGCAGCACACCTTCTGCCACCACTGCTCTATAGATTCTGTAAACTTTGATTATAAGACCCCTTTCTGAGATGTCAAAGGCAGATTTGCCTCCCCGCGCCCCTCACCCCCACCAGTGTATAGGTTTTCTTTTTACCCTATTAGAAAACATTTTTATACACAGAGGAAAGTAAATTTTAGAAAATCTCATTCATCACTTTTACCCTCTCCTAATTTTGTATTTCTCAATATATTTGGAAGCCTATATATACTATTGGTTTAAGTTTGGTCTCATTGTATCTCTTAATGATCTTTATGGTTTGAGGTCTTACCCTTAAATCACTGATTCACCTTGAGTTGATCTTTGTGTATGATGTAAGATATGGATCCTGCTTCAGCTTTCCACAGGTGAATATCGAGTTTTGTGAGAACCATTTGTTGAAGAGGTTGTCATTTCCCCATTTGATAAGTTTTGTTTCGTTGTAGAATGCTAATTAATCGTAGCTAAATGGACTAATTTCTGAGCTCTTGATTCTAATCCATATATCCATGTGTCTATCATTGTAGCAATACAATGCTGTTTTGGTAATGAAATGGATTGACACGGTAACTGGGACATGGGACTAGGTGTGTCAGAGTCAGTGAGACCGGATCAAGATAGGGCAGGGTTCAGAGTCTTGTACATAAGGTCATTATGAATCACACGTGACTTGATGGCACATAACAAGAACAGTAGGTTCTAAGATCAGGCTGTCCCATGCTTCCCAGTTCACTATTGTTTTTCAGGAGTGTCATGCTTATTCAGGATCTCTTTCCTTTCCAAATAAACTTGCCAAATGCCTTATCTATCTCTTTGAAAAAGGATTTTTCTATCTGTGTTGGGACTGCATTAAACATGTAGATTGCTTTTGGTAGGACTATCATTTTCACTATGTTGAATCACTCAATTCACGGACAAGGAATATTTTCCTACTTAGTTAGGACTCATTGTTTCTCAAAAAGTGTTTTGTAGTTTTCCTTTTACAGGTCTTTTGTAACTCTAGGTAATTTTATTCCCAAGTATCTCAATTTGTGAATGACAAGACAGGGAGCAGTGTTCAGGTTGCCAGTTGAAAGGGTTGCTATTAGTGATACTCAACTCGAGGGCAACTACCAACAATAACAATATTATAAATGATATTGCTTTCTTAGGTTCCTTTTCCATTTTCAGTTGTTGCTGTTACTATGAAGGTATCCCACTGATTACTGTATATTAATCTTATATCTTATCACTGTACTAAATTGCTCTACTAGGTCTAAGCCATGGGAAAGTCTGCTGTTAGGGACCTCTCCAAAGTACTGAAGAGCAATGGTGTCTCTCTGGAGACTAAGGTGTGTCTGATACAGGCTATGATCTTCGCAATCACTTGTTATGCATCAGAGAGTTGGACAAAGACCAAGGAGGATAGAAGGAGAATTGATGCCTTTGAGCTGTGGTGCTGGAGAAGAGTATTGAGAATACCATGGACTGCTAGGAAAACAGATTTGTCCTGGAAACGGTTAAACCGGGTGGCTCCTTGGAGGCAAGGATTCTGAGGCTCCGTCTAACATACTTTGGACATGTTGTGAGGATGTCCGGTCCTTGGAGAGGGACATGATGCTTGGGAGGTTGGAGGGACAGCGCAGGAGAGGAAGGCCCTCTATGAGGTGGATTGATTCAGTGACTGGGATAATCGGGATGGGTGTGTTGGAGACAGTGCGATTGGCACAGGACAGAGCGGAGTTTAGGGCTGTTGTGCATAGGATCGCTATGAGTCGCAAGCGACTCAACGGCACATAACAACAACAACACTAGGTCTAATGGGTTTTATTGTTGAGTCTTTGGGGTTTTCTGTATACATTACCATATCATCTGCATATAGCAACAGTTTTACCCCCTCTTTGCCTATTTAGATGCTCCTTAATTCCTTCTCTTGTTATACTTTCCTAGCAAGTACTTACCATACAATATTGAATATTGTTGTTACTGTCACATGATGTTGAGTTGTCCACAACTCACAGCAATACTATGTATAACAGCTCTGAACCCTGCTCTATCTTGAGCCAATCTCCAACAAACATACCCCGATTACCCCAGTTACTGCGTTGAACCATCTCATTTATGATCTTCCTCTCCTGTGCTGTCTGTCTCTACTCTCTGCCTAGCATGATGGCCTTCTTCAATGAATGACGCCTCCTGACATCATGGCCAAAGTATGTGAGATGGAGCTTCAAAATCCTTGTTCCCAAGGTACAATTTGGTTTCACCCTCAGAAAGACATAACATGTTTGTTCTCTTGGCAGTCCATGTTCAATATTCTTCCCAAGCACCTCAACTCAAAGGCATCAATTCTTCTTCTATTATCATTAGTCATTGTTCAGTTCTCTGAAGCGTAGTAAGTAAGTGTGAATGCATTGCTCTTCAACTCTTTGGAGAGGTCCCTGACATCAGATTTTCCCAATGCCATTCATCTTTTGATTTCCTGACTGCTGATGCCAAGAGTGCTGACTGTAGAGCCAATAAGCTGAAACTGTTAATAATATCAATCTCTTACCATCTATCGTGATGTTGCCATTTGGCCCAGTGGTGAAAAATTTTGTTTTCTTGATGATGAGCTTCAGTCCACACTGAAGACTGCAATCCTTGGTCTTCTGCAGCAAGCAAGGTTGTATCATCTGCATAATGAAGGCTGTTGATGAGTTCAGTCCTGATGCCACATTCCTCCTCAGGAAGTCTAGCCTCTCGAATTATCTGTTCCATATATAGATCGAAAAGGTAAGGAAATAAGATGCATTCCTGATATAAAACTTTTCTGATTTTGAACCATGCAGTGTTTCCTTGGTCTTTTCTGATCTGCTTCCTGTTCGAAGAATAGGTTTGCCATGAGTACAATCAGGTGTTCTGGATGCCCATTCTTCTCAAGGTCAGTCACAATTTGTTGTGATCCACACAGTTAAATGTCTTTGCATCGTCAATGAAAAACAGCCATTTATCTTGTACTATTTCCTTTAGCCAAGATCCAGCTAACACTGGCTATAATGGCCTTAGGGCCACAGACTCTTCTAAACTCAGCTTCTAAACTCAGAGTGCACATCTTGCAGTTCTTCATCGATGTACTGTTGCAGTAATTTTTGGATAATCTTCATCAGGACCTTGCATGCATGTGATAGCAGTGACACTCTTCTATAATTTCCACACTGTCAAATCACTTTTTTAAAAATGGGAATGCATATGGATCTGTTCTCGTCAGTTGCACAGGTAGTTGACAACCAGACAGACTTCTTGGCACAACCTGGTGACGGCGTTCACAGCTGCATCTCTTTCTTGAAATCTGTCAATTAGTATTCTATCAGTACCTGGTACTGTGTTGTACCAGATTAATAGGTTGTTCATAGTTCTTTATCTGTATAAAGCCACTGATTTGATGTAGGTTTAAAGTGTTCCCTTTTTTAGGGTAGGGTAACTCACTCTACTACAGTTCCTTGCTGCTGGTAAAGCATTCCATTCCTAAAGTCATTCTAGTTCTCTCTGGTCTGCAGCACAGCCCGGTGGGAATTTCATATATGAGTGCAGGCCACTACTCCTAACATGTATTACTGTCCTCAGTGGTAGGCAGTGCAACCCATGACTTGACTGAATCTTAAGTTCAATTTTAAAACAAACATTTGTAAACTGTTACATCAAATAACTTAAAGCACTCTAAGTTTAAACATAGGAGGCTCAGGTGACCTACTGGTAAGGAGCTATGCTGCCAACCCAAAGGCAGGTTGCAACATTAGTCCTCTCTAGTCTCCAGGTACTTAACTGCAGACAAATGATATGGCAAATGATCGATAGCTGGGAACTAAGCTAAGCTAAGTACTTCCAGAAGGAAAGAAAAAAAAAGATTTTATTTTATTAACTGTTAAAAAAAATTAATACTGTTTATTTCAATAAAGCCTGTATCTGAATAATTCTAATGAAAATTCTACCGAAATTTTTTTTAAGCATCTCCTGGGGATTGCTCAAAAGACACTTTAACCTCTACCAAAGACCTATCAAATTTATACTCTATAATAATCTATATCAAGATAATCTATACTCTAATAAGATAATAAAGAGAATCATAATGGGGGGAGGGTGGGTATTATATGCCATCTAGTCAACTCTGAATCATATTGATGTTATGTACAACAGCCCTGAACCCTGCTCTGTCCTGAGCCAATTTAATGGTCTATGATACCCCAAGTACCCCAGTCACTGAGTCAATCCATCTTATTCAGGGTCTTCCTTTCTTGCACTGGCCCTCCACCCTTAAAAGCATGATGTCCCTCTTCTACAAGGATTGGTCCCTCCTGGCAACATTCCCAAAGTATGTCAGACAGGGCTTCAAGATCCTTACTTCTAAGAAATACCCTGATTTCACCATCTCCAGGACAGACCTGTTTGTTCTCTTAGCAGTCAAGAGTATACACAGTACTCTTCTTCAGTACAACTACTCAAAAGTATTGATTCTTCTTCTAATACCCTTAGTCATTGTCCAGCCAGCTATCTGATGCACAGCAGGTTAACTGCAAAGACTATGTCCTGCAACAGGCGCATCTTAGTTTGTAGACTGAAATCACTGCTCTTCAGTAGTCTGGAGTGGTCCCTGACAGCATATTTTACCAATGCACTTTGTCTTTTGATATCCTGACTGCTGATACCAAGAGTGCTGAATGAGGAGCCAAGCAAGCTGAAGTTGTTAACAATCTCAGTCTCTGTCTATCATTATGCTGCCAACTGGCCCAGTGGTAAGAATATTTTTTGTTGTTCTTTATTTTGACCTTCAATCCACATTCAAGGATGCAGTCTTTGACCATCTGTAGTCATGTCTCAGGTCCTCCTCAGTTTTGGCAAGCAACGCTGTGTCATCTGCATAACGCAGGTTGTTGATGAGTCTTCCTCCAATCCTGATGCTACATTCCTTCTCATAAAGTGCAGCCTCCCAGATGATCTGTTCTACATACAGATTGAAAAGGTAAGGCGATAGGATGCATTCCTACCATATTCCTTTCCTGATTTTGAACCACGCAGCATTTCCTTACTCTTACGACGGCATCCAGGCTCAAGAATAGGTTTTGCATAAACACAGTCAAGCGTTCTGATATTCTCATTCTTCTCAGAGTTAACCACAGTTTCTTGTGATCCACACAGTCAATGCCTTTGCATCCTCAATCAAACACAGACAGACCTTACTCTAGTACTTTTGGTTTCCAGCTAAGATCCATCTAACATTGGTTATAGTGGTGCTAAGGGATTATAATTCAAAACAGCTTTTCTAGCCATTGAGTTTGACTTTGGCATATAGCTAGGCAAGGACATGCTAATGCGGAATGGTGGTCTACCCACAAGCGGACTGTCTTGCCTAACCACAAAATTAAGCAGGTTCAGCAATGTGTATCTGAATTTGAGAATCTCACCCCTACCGAGGCAAAAGTAAGATAATGCCCTTCGGGGCAGAGATTCTTGTTCCGAGCAGACCTACAAGAGAACAGCACAGCCAGAACAAAGAACGAGAGACCAAACATGAGGTAGAGTTGATCTTAGTACAGCTACACTATGATATCAAAGCTAAGAATCTTGGCTGAAATTTGTTGGAAAACTAGGGAGAGGGCACAGCCATAACTGACAAGGCTAAGAGCTTTGTAATATTAGTCTAAAGCCAGAAGTCTGAAGGATAAAGTACCTGCAAGCACATTTCAGAAGCTGTCCTGATGGCTTCTCTATTACGTGCTACCAACCTAAATCATAAACTTTTGACTTCTCTAATACAGTCTGTGTGATCAGTAAGCTATTGCAATGAATTCTGGACCCAATAGAGCAGTACGATTAGTGTTTAATTAGTGGAGAGAGATGCAGGAGCATGAAGTACATATCTGACTTCAAGGGAATTGGTTTTGCATTATAGATGTTTCTGGCAGGGACTGTCTTCCTTTGTGGAGCAGGTAAAGGTCAGACAGCCATCTCCATGATGTCTTTGTCCTTTTCAATGTGTAGAGATGATAAAAATGGCATAATATGGGGGATTGGGAAGAGAACAGGATAGGTGTGGATAGATAATAACACTGCATTGCAAAAAATGAAAGAAAGAACTCTCTAAAATGAATATATGATTAGGCATTATATGTATGACAACAGCCCAAAATAAAAAATAATCATGGGGGAAAGGACTGCAGGGCAGAGGGGGAAGAAATTGGGAAACAATGAACGATTTTTTTTTTTTAAAGTAAACTGGGGGAGGGACAAGGGAGAGCAAAGAGGTAAAATGTGTAACAATCAACGAATGAAAATCTAACTTCTCTGTGTATATTTGTTAAAATCACAATTTAAATAAAATTTTATTTAAAAAAAAATAGGACAGAATACAGGTCTGTTGTGAAGGGTTGCTATGAGTCATATTCAACTCTATGGTATCAAATAACAATTGTTGTTGTTGTTATGTGCCGTAGAGTTACTTGCGACTCATAGCTACCCTAAGTACAATAGCCCTAAACTCTGCTCTGTGTTGTGACAATCGCACTGTCTCTGGCACACCCATACCGAGTACCATAGTCACTGAATCAATCCACCTCATAGAGGGCCTTCCCCTCCTGCGCTGTCCCTCCACCGACAAAGCCTGAGAATCCTTACCTCCAAGTAGCAGCCTGATTTAACCCTCTCCAGGATAAATCTGTTTTCTTAGCAGTCCATGGTACCCTTAATACTCTTATCCAGCACCACAGATCAAAGGCATCAATTCTCCTTCTATCCTCCCTAGTCATTGTCCAACTCTCTGATGCATAACAAGTGATTACAAAGACCATGGCCTGTATCAGATGCACCTTAGTCTCCAGAGAGACACCATTGCTCTTCAGTACTATGGAAAGGTCCCTAACAGCAGACTTTCCCATGGCAGTATGTCTTTTCATTTCCTGGCTACTGGTGCCAAGAGTGTTGTCTGTGGAGCCAAGCAAACTAAAGCTGTGAACAATCTCAATCTCTTCACCATCCATCCTGATGCTGCAAATTGGTCCAGTGGTGAAATTAGACACATCATGGGACAGAGGAGGGTGCTGACCACATCATTTTCAAAACACACATCCACCACTCTGTATGGCTTGAGAACTACCTCTACAGGACAGTAGAGAAGATAGCCTTTTACTCTTAAAAGGCTGAAAAGCAGTCATATGCTAAGTTCCTAGCAAATGCTTTTCCACCCAGAGGAGCAAAGAAAATTGTTCAACTTACTGCTCTGATTATAGCTAAATTATAAAGAATAATCCCAACTAGTTTTAAAGCTCACCCATATTATGGTTATCACAAGAGTCCAGAATGAAGATTGCATAGTGGAGTGTACCCGGGGCAGGGGAGTGGGGGGATTATATACCAATGAAGGAATTTTTCTTTTACTTTTCAAAGAGAAGAGCAAACTGTGGAGGAGGGGTGGGAAGGGAGAAAAAGGCAACAATGAACGAATAGAAATCCAAAATCTCTGTAAATGTTCATTAAAATTAATAATTTTTTTTTAAAAAAAAAAAGCTCACCCAGTCGGAGACACTGCCGTAAAATTCCTCCAGATGACATGTTTTTTTCAGCTTCAATTTCAGTAAAGCCAAGAGAACTTGCAAAAATGAGTACATCCACAAGACTGATTAACCTCTGCAAAAATGCCACAGAGGCTTCTATTGAAAGGCCCTGAGTAGGCTCAATATTCTCCAGTTCATGCTGCAAATGATAAAGTTTGAAATTTACATCCAAGTTCTAATGAAAATTTAAATTTACACAAATACTCAACAAATTTCTAAATTTTTCAGATAAAATCAAAGCTCTGAAAAATCTACACAGTTGAACACAGGCATGCAGCTGTCATTTCATCTTTTTAAAAATGTCATCGGAAACACAAAGTTATAACTACATCACCCTAACTCTTCATTAGCTGATTCATCCAACATTCATTTTAGTCTTCTTATTCTGTGAACAGATTCTAAAATTCTTTCCGATAACTAAAAATCTACTGCTTTTTATTTACAATCCTTACAGTAAAGTAGTCACAACTTTCACGTGTTAATAAATAAGAATGAATAGCATTCATGTTTTCATGCCAGTTTTACACAGCAGTTAAGTACTTACTGTAGCTGATGTAGCAGCTGAAAGCAATGGAAGTATACCCCCACAGGCCATGACCATGTTGTCCATCACTTGAGAGATTAGATGAATTGTGTTGTGTACAAAGATGACATTATCACTGCTATTCACGAAGTCCATAACTGTCTTCGTTGAATGGCTGTCCAAAGATAAAGAATTGTTATTGATAACATAGGGGGAAAAGAATATCAGTTGTCTATCTGAGAGTGGGTAAAATAAGAAAAAAGCTGAGGGAAGACAATAATGCAGCAAACATTTGAGGGATACTTTCTTGAGAAGTAGACTACAACACTGTTTACTATCCATACCCTCCTTCATGGATAATACATAAATTCTATACATCTTATACTTGATGTACAAAGTTAATGTAAAGTACCCTTAACTGCGAACACAACTAATAGATAAGTGTGGTAAATATTAAGGGCATATGGAGTCAAATGGCTATTTAAACTTCCCACTATCTTCTCAGAAGATGCCATGAATGCTTTGAAACAGCTTAAGACTATTATACAAATAAAAATAAGCCAACTAGGCATTTTCAAAATCACAAGTATACAACCGAAGATAACTGAAAAAATACTTACTATGTTGAAATGTACAATGTCCTTTATTCCAATTTCATTTTAGTACTTCAAGTATTAATTTATTAAACTTACCTCATGTTGAACTTCATACAATAAATATGCTATACACAATGTTCAACAAATTTTTTAAAAGAAAAATCTCTAGGTTGCAAGTTTTGAAATATAAACAGGCAGAGTTTCTTAAAATGGAGAATAAAAGTCAATTAAACTCTACCTCCGACTCATGAATAGCCTACTTTTCAACCAAATGTCTAAAACAAGGGTAGTGTTACCTCCATCAATTTCTTTGACAACAAAGACTAAGGTTTATACACGTTTATAATAAACATATGGACAAACCTTCTCCACATTTGTATATCTGTTTCAATTGAAAATAATAGATCTGTGAGCAAACGTTGATGCATTTGAGACCACTTGAATTCAGGAATACGAAACATAGTTGATCTGGAATCCCTCCTTTGTTCATTAGTTACATCGGGAGCTACAGCTGGCCCGGGTTGCTCCTGTCGTCTGGACATCTGCTATAGAAAATTTTAAATAATATTAAGTGATATTAGTAAAAGAAAATAATGAATGAATCATAACATTATTCCTTAAATTTGCTTTAAAAATTACTAAACTAAAAACTAAACTAACCAAAATTGCTAAACTACTATAAGTCAATAGTTAGAACTATTTCAGTATTTCCCCCAATGTAACATTGAAAATCAACACATTAGTCTTGAATATTAGCATAAAAAAGTAGCCAAAAAAAAAGCAGCATCTAGTTCCTAAGCCTTCTAAGATGAAACACAAACAAAAGATAAATGCAATGAAGAACAAACAAGCAAAAATGAAAGGAAAAAGTTCACTAAAGTAGAAAATTACAACATTCAACTAACCATTGCTTCTTAAATCACTGTCAGATATACTGGTAGAGAAAACTGTGTAAATCTAACAAAAGATCTCCTGCATCTTAGAAAGTACATCAGCATCAAGTAACAATTTTTAAGATATACTTAAAAACAAAATTATAAAATGACAGGTGGCTTTGCAAAGAGGAAGTTAATAATTTTGCTGAAATACTATTGTTCTTAGGTTGGTTACTAGATTAGTCAAATAAAGGAATAAAAGTAAAATTTTCCCAGTGTTTCTTTTCTAAGTGAAAATTATACCAGTTCTGAAACTTTGACAGGTAATATTCAGTCATACATAGGTATAGAAAAATGTTTTCAAGGTTTCCATTTAATGAACTCAGATAAAATGGTAAAGTCTGCACTAAACACTTGAAATTTAATGACTGTACATACATAATTTCAAACAGCACTTAAACGAACTTCAAAATAAAATCAAGGTACATATACACTTATTGTGTTATAACTCAAATAAAATACACTTCAAGACGACAATATAAATAATCACCTCAAGTCCTGGCCGTTGAGGTTGAGATACGTCCATGTTTGTACTGGCCTTTAATTCAAGTTTCTCAGTATCTGTAGCAATGCTGGAAACATCCAACTTGGCAATCTTCTGCTCAGTAGCAGGAGAGTCTAGGCTGTTACCAGCACAATCCTTAATTAATCTGGTTTCTCTAACAAAACGAGTTGTTTCTTTCTCTTCTTCTAAGATATGACCAATGTCTGATTGTTCGGTTATCTGGGAAGCAGTGGCTTCTGGTGAGGTAGCTGATGATCCTGACGCTGTCATAGTCAAGATTCCTGAATCTTTAAAATCTTGAGTTTCAGCATCAGTTGGCTCTTTAGTAAATGGGTCTTCTTCTTTGCAGTTACTATTGGTCAACTCCAATATTTCACTTGCTTTCGTTGCAGCTACAGACAAACTATTTCTTTGGAGTTCAGTAGAAAGAGTGGTTTCTTCAGGAGGACTATTTTCTACCTTTAATTCCACATAATCTTCATCATCTTCCTCTACTATGGACTTATCCAATAATTCTGGAACCTCTGAGGCATCTTCTTCAGAAGGAGAACTTAAGGAAGCAGTTGCTTCACTTGTGGTCATAATATCTTTGCTAGTTGTTTTAAAAGAACTAGAGGAAACAGTCAAAGGTTCTGTTAACACAGAAGATACGTCTAAATCGTCTGTATTCATATTCTCATTTGTCAATGTTTCTTCTAAGTTGATTTCGTCTAGTAAATCCTGATTTTCTTGGCCAGTTTTTCTTTCTTCATTATATGCATTATGTGTTTCTGGTTCAATGTTGCATGCAGAGTCTACCAAATATTCCTTCTCAATACTTGATTTTTCATCATCATTTCTGATGATATTGGAGGATGATGGAGAATCTTCAGTATTTGATTGCTGGGCCCCTTCAACAACATTAACATCTCTGCTAACATCAAGCACTGGGGGTACAGGACTTGAAGAACAAGGCCCTATTTCTTCACCAACTTTATCTCGATGTTCCCTGAATACATTGGCAAGATTTTCTTTGTGTAGTTCAAAAGTGACCTAGATTTTTAAAAGGGAAAATAATTTTAAACACACTTACAAATTAAAATAATCTAGAAAATATCTTAAAAAAAATTTTTAAAGTATTATCTATTTAACACTTTCAAAGACATAATCAATATATTACAATAAAACTTAATTCATCGATATATTCCTAATTCAGTAAAATGAGAAATAAAATGCATATCAACTACAAAAATATAAAATATTTTTTCCAAAAAGCTAATCTTAAATTATAACAAGTTATACTGCATTTTAGAACATATTTCGCTAATATCTCAGATCTAAAGTAATATGCTATCCTTTGTACTTATGCTAATCTTTCTCTCTGTAAACCAGAAATCACCAAAGTGCTTTGTGTATTGATGACACATTATTCCCTCAATGGCAGAGTAATATTAATAAAATATCAATTTCTCACCTGTAATTTTGAATTGGGTTAATTTAATTGACTAGACAGGTCCTTGGAGAAGGACATCATGCTTGGGAGGGTGGAGGGACAGCGCAGGAGAGGAAGGCCCTCTATGAGGTGGATTGATTCAGTGACTGGGATAATTGGGATGAGAGTGTCAGAGACAGTGTGATTGGCACAGGATAGAGCGGAGTTTAGGGCTGTTGTACATAGGGTCGCTATGAGTCGCAAGCGACTCGACGGCACATAACAACAACAACATGATTTCATTTTATTGCACAACAAAAATTCACTGACATGTCAATAAACACGCAAGAAACCATATATGAGTGACTGAATCCAAATTAATATAAATATGACGAGGGTGAAAAAAAATGCTATGGAAAGAAATGGCACCCTTTCTATATGTCTGAAAATTAATAAAACCAAAACTTACTAAGAATTTTTGTAACAAAATTAATCAAAATATCCATTAACATTATGCAAAAATTATTTACAAATTGTTAATAAAAAAGCAATATGATTTGTAAACTTTCACCCAAATAAAAAAATTAATTAAAAAATTCTCCCTGAGGTTCGAATCCACCAGATGCTCTGCTGGGGAAGGAGGGGCAATCTCCTCCTGTACAGTCAGATCCAATTTGATGATACATATACAAAAAATAATAAAATATTTTTTTAATTCATAAAAAAAAACAATGACATCTACAATATACTTGACATGATGAACAATAAACACAAACATTCTGTCTTCATGGAGCTTACATTCTTTTTGGGGGGGTCAAATCTTATTTTTATTAATGGAGCTTACATTCTAATACAAGAGACAGAATGTAAATATAAATATGTAATCAAATGTCACGCATCACATGAATGAAACAAAATGTAAACAAATTATTGTATATAAACCAGTATTTTTTTTAAAATACAAAACAAAGAAATAAAAAAAGCTTTCAAGTAGCAATAAATTTTTTAAAAAAATATAAAGGAGATAGAAAACCAAGAATGGAAGCCTAAATCATATCAGGGTAGTTAGAGAAAGCATTTCTGAGGAAATTATGTTTGAATAGAAACAAAAATAAAATGAAAGAACAAATAGTGTAGATACCAGGAAGAAAAGCTTTACAAAAAGAAAGAACAAGTATAAAGTCCTCAGAACTAAGATAAGGTTGGTATAGTCAGAGAACAATATACTGTACAATCGGAGGTCAGAGCTGAGAAGGGAAGAAAAAAAGGGTAAAGAATTTACTCATAATGCAGTGGATGAAACCTATCGCCAAAAGCCTTCTTTTGCATTACAATGATTTTTATTTCTAGTTTAGTTTCTATTTCTTCATTTCTAGTTGTAGTTTCTATTCAGCCAATTAATAATAATTCCTTTGTAAACTGATGAAGCAAATTTCTTCCTTTAAATGCCTTATAATGAAGCGGCATTATTTTTATTGTTGTTGCTGTATGCTATCAAGCTGTAACCAACCACAGATGACCCTCCCACAGGTTTTCAGAGGCAGGTAATCACATGGGAGGACACCGCTCATCTTTCTCCCATGGAGCCGGTGCTTGATTCAAACTGCATGCCTTTGGGACTCCAGCACAAACTCATTGCCATCAAATCAAAACAAATTCATAGCTGACCTGCTAGTGGGTTTCATGAGGCTGTAAATTATACAGGAGGTGTTCGGGTGGTGTAGTGGGTAAGGTAGGAGTGTCGTTGCAAACCCAAAGTTGGGCAGTTGAAAACTACCAGTTGCTCTGCAGGAGAAAGAAGAGAAAATCCCTCCCTTGTGATTTACAGCCTCTGAAACCCACTGGAAAGTCAGCCATGAGTCAGTTCTGACTTGAAGGCAATGAACTGTTTGCTGAACTAAAGAAAAAGAAACAATAAAGGTTATTTTTAAAAAAAAATTTAAAAACCTTGCTTGCATCAATTACAAGTCAATTAGTTCCTGGTGACCATAATGGAAGTAGAACTGGCCACAGGATATTCAAGGTTATAAAGGTTTATGAGCTCATACTGTCACATCTTCCTCCTGTAGAGAGCCTGGAAGGTTCAAATTGCTAACCTGTGAGTTCATAGCTCAGCACTTATCCACTGTGTCACCAGGACCCCACTGAATCGTTATAGATATTTTAAACATTGTCCTAGGCAACATCTCTTCTCATGTAATTAACTGCCTGTGAAAACTCGCTGGTGGGTCAGCTACAGGTTTGATTTGAGAATAAACAACAACAACAGGCAACTTCTTTAAGTACGGACTCTAATATATCATTCTCCCAAGTTTGTAGAGAATAAATAACAAACAATTCTAATTTCTTTAATTCTGTGAGAATAAAATTGAGTCAGATGATGGCAAACTTGTAAAGTGTTCTCCCAAAATGAGATTTTGCCCACAAAACCCCACAGGTATTAAAATTCAAAACAGAGAATTACATAAACACAAAATGGCAAAACAGTGCTCAAGGTAAGCAAGAACCTGGTGGAAAATAAAGGATTGACTTCTATGGAGAGATATATTATACACACAACAAGCATTAAAGATAAACAAAAAGGAGGCAGGAGATTTGTTAAAGATTATTTCCAGGGTTATTGGTTGAAAGACAAGTCTTGGGCCATAAACTTGGAAACAGGGCCACCAGCAGGTCTTACAGTATGTAGTCCAACAATGTATTTCATGTTCACGGCTTTATAATTTTCAAAGAATGTTTTTGCCAGTCCTTTTCCAGTCCACCAAATTCACCAAAATATACAAAAATCTACCAGCTTTCCCACTGTTAATCTAAATGTGCAGCTAGCAAGCTGTCCTACAACAGTTGGGTTCTCTAATTTAAAATTTATTGAATAATTACAATAGGACAGTAGAAATCACAAGATGGGCTACATAAAAAACAAAAGTATTTCCTAGTTTTATGAAACATAACAATAATTTAAGACAAATGAATATCCAAAATACTATTCACGGTATGTCAAAATGTTATGGATTAAATTATCCCTTCAAAATATGTGATTTTCTTTCTAGCCCTTGTTATCTATGGATGTGATCCTATTTGAAAACCTGGTTATTCTTTTGTTTTGTTAATGACATCATACTGGGATGGATGATTCCTCAGCATAGGATGGATCTAAACCTATTGATTACTGAGTGTTAAAAAGACCAGAATAAACCCAGTCATACAAAAGTGAAAGATGTCTGAAAAAGGCAAATACATAAAGCAGATGCATATACATGCCCAGGAATACGACCACCTGCTGGCTATGACAAGCTGAAAGGAAGTTCTGGTTAAGTGATTTATTGCAATGTCAACTCAAAGGATGCACCTTTTTGGAAGTTGAAATCTACCAGACACTATGTGAAAGAAAGATGGGAAATCTCACAAACCCACTGGAGGGTCAGCTATGAGTCGATTCCAATTCAATGGCACTGAAATAAGAAAGCTGATAAAAAAGAGCTGAGATAGACAAAAGATCTCCCTGCTAAATCCATGACATAAATTGGGACTTCCAGTCTCCTGACTTTTGAGAAAATTTCAATTCTTCTAAACCATCCACACACAGCATTTCTCTGTAACTAAAACAATTATAATGACCAACAGGCATGTACAAATAAATCTGTACCAACTGCATATAAATACTGAAAGGCATTAAATAAACACAATCATAAATATTTCTCTACAATACCCGTATTTAGAACCAGCTTTCCAAAGTGCCAAGTTATAGAGACCGACATAATCACGGAAGACATTTGAAATTAAGTGTAAGTAAAAACTAACAGTGTGAGTTGTCAGAATGCAAATAAAAAAAAATAACTCTTTAAGTTATGAAATTGAAAAATAAGCCAATTTACCCTAAGCAGACACTTTGGATAAGCAGGAGAGTAAGCATAAATTTCACCCTATAACAACATCAACTAGTTCTGAAAGGGAGGGGACAAACCACCTCCTCTCTTGTTCTATCTGATACACCTGTCACAAAACAAATTTATCAACAATAAAAATTATAAACCAATTCAAAACCAAGTATGTCCCTATAGTAAAGAGCACTGTTTTAAAAAATTAAGCAAATACACCTAATATATACAAACTCTAAATATTGCACTGGAGCTTAAATGACATAGTAAAACTCATACAGAATGTTAAGAAAGCAATTTGAAAATCCTACAACTACGTTTTTGTTCAGAATAATACCAATTATTTCCTAAAACTGTACATAACACAAGAGTTTAATGAGTACTTTGAAACATTATCTCTGCTACCTAATTACAGCTAACAATGAGTAATTTTACATGTGTAAATTATTTAGTAATAGGATATAAATGTAAAAGTGAGAACCCACAAAACAAAGTCCTAAAAACAAGTATGTGCACTTTTACAGTAATGATTTCTCAAAGTTTCCTATTATGATGGTGGACAAAGCTGCTCAGTTGTATACTATTTAAAAGACTTGCAGAGCTACCCATTGTAGGAAGACGTCAGTGATGATTCAAACCTAAAACACAGTAAGGGGATATAAAGAAAAAAGCCTAGAAATCTACTTCTAAAAACAGTCAATGAAAACCCTAAGGATCACAATACAATACTGTCCAGGAGTAAC